CAAGATGCGTGGTCTCAAGGTGACTTCGTGACCTTGCAGCTCGGTGGAGAAATTGAAGAGCCTCCACGAGAGACGCAGAAGGAAACAGAGATGAGAATGTGCGATGAAAAAACATGCGTAGTTGGACCGAAATCGGGAGAGGTAGTTGCACCATGCGAACGACCTCGGGGTGATTTTTCAACCCCTAAGCCGACGGAGGGATCTCTGCATGACGTGGCAGTCAAGGGTGAGTCACGTAAAACACTAAGGAGTGTGAGTGCAGTAGAGAGCGATCGTGTTTCTACGCTGGAAGAGAGACTCGGTAGTGAAGAGTTTTCTCGAGGTAAAAGGGTTACCTTTAAACCAGGGGAGGATTGTACCGGGGGTACAATCTCTCGAAACACGACTCGCAGAGACCCTACGATTGGAGGTATGTCGTCAGATATGGCTAAAAGTGCAGTATGTAGGAGCCAAACTCAGTCGCTGGTATCAGGAGAGTATAACAGCGACGAAGATATTGAGTGTTTGGACTCCGTATGCATGGCGACGTCGGAGACTTCAATGCCTGATGTGCAGGATGGAGCCGACAGTGGGCCGGAGGAGGAGGCCATTGTTACGACGATCGCCGAAATTCACGAACCGCAAGAGGCGGAGCGTGTCGAACGGACTCGATCGATCATTTATCTAGACATCGCAGCGATGACAAAAGAAAATAGATTTTTCGTGGATGTACGAGTGGGTCCGTTCACATACAAGGCTTTGCTGGATAGTGGAGCACAGTGTTGTTCAGCGAGGCATCGTATGATGAGAGAGTTGGCGGAGAGGATTAAGCCGTCATGGGCCCTGATAGGATATGCGGATCAGAATACCCAACCGTCTGGTGGATATTTGCCAGTTATGCTGCAGATCGATCGAGATGCCGGCCGAATCGACATTGAGTGTACAGAGATTCTGCCGATAGAAATGGTTTTAGGCGTGGATTTTGGCCGACGATGGAGAGTCGATATTTCCATGGGTCGAAATCAGTGGCGGTCTGGTGATGGGCCGTGGCACAATTTCACCAAATTAGACGATACAGGCTCGAGGAGATGCGATATCGTGGTGGAATGTGCCGGTATTACTGTATCTCGTCGCCTCAGCGCAAGAACCGCACAAATAAACTCAAGTGGCAAAAAGGTGCCTTAATCCTATCCTTTTAACATAGGGATAAGGTTGTTTTTGCCCCTTAAGTTTATTTGTGCGGTTCTTGCGCTGGGGCGACGATCTGGTGGAGAAAGAGAGCTTATCGAAAGAAAAATTAAGAAATTGATACCAGATGTACCACCGAAGCTTGGTCATACGGATAAAATTGTCCACCGAATTGAATTGGTGGAGGGCGCGAAGCCGGTATGCCATAGAACACGTCGTATGACACCGAAGATGGAGAAAATTGCTCATGAGTGCCTGCAGAAGATGAAAGAAGAAGGTATCATCGAAGCGGCGAGGAGTGAATGGAACAGTGCTCCGGTGTTGGTAAAAAAGTCAGACGGATCATACAGATTTTGCGTAGATTATCGAGACTTAAATGAAGTTACTAAAAAAGATGGTTATCCGTGCAAGAACATGGATACGATTTTAGATCGACTGAGAAGAGCGAGATACATTTCAAAAATTGACTTGGAGAGCGCGTATCATCAGGTGTGCTTAGACGAAGACAGTAAAGCGTATACCGCTTTCTCTGTACAAGGCTCGGGGCAATATCAATTTTTACGGTTACCATTTGGTTTAAAGTGTGCCCCTATGACCTTCCAACGATTACGAACGATACAACCGTACGTTTTTGCGTACTTAGATGATATTATTTTGGTCACAGAAACTTTCGAGGAGCATGTGAGCTGGCTCGAACGAGTTATACGCAATCTACTCGACGCTAAGCCTGTAGTGAACCGAGATAAATGCGAATTTTGTTGCCAAAGCGTAAAATTTCTGGGCTATGTGCTGGACAGCAGTGGACTTCGCATCGACAGCGAGCGAGTCCGCCCAATACATGATTATCCGACACCGAGAAATGTAAAACAAGTAAGACGGTTGCTTGGCATGGTAGGCTGGTACTCTCGCTTTATTAAAAATGAAGCAGAAATTAAAGTGCCACTTGCTAGGTTATTGCGTAAAGACACACCGTTTATGTGGGGTGCCGAACAAGAACAAGCGTTTGAAACGTTGAAACAATCTTTGTCGGAGGCGCCAGTACTTGTGAGACCCGATTTTGAAAAAGAGTTCGCAATACAGACCGATGCATCGGACTACGCGATAGGTGCTGTGTTGACACAAGAACGAGAAGACGGCGAGCATCCGGTGTATTACATCAGCCGTGTATTGACACCTGCTGAGCGTAATTACACGGTCACGGAGAAGGAGTGTTTAGCGGTGCTATGGGCGATCGAAAAATTTTGACCGTACGTGGAGGGCTATCACTTCAAGGTAGTGACGGATCACCGCGCATTGAGTTGGCTGAGAAATTTCAAAGACCCACAAGGCAGAGTAGCTCGCTGGGCTTTGAAATTGATGGAATACGACTTTGAAATAGTGTATCGAAAGGGTTCGCTACACTACGTACCCGATGCGTTGTCGAGAGCGTTTGAGAGCGACGAACGAACTGAAGTTTTTGCATTCGAGCGCATCGAGGACGAGTGGTATATGAAAAAGATGAGCTAAGTGAAGAAGTCGCCATCGAAGTATACAAACTGGTGTATCGAGGACGGTATGTTGTACAAGCGCAGCTACAATGCATTGCTCGATCCGGTGTCGAACGCGGAGAATAGTTGGAGATTGGTAGTACCAGCAGAGCAGCGAGAACGAGTGTTGGCCGAGTCACACTGCCTTACGTCGTCAGGGCACCTTGGAGCCAAGAAAACGTACGATAGATTGGCGTGCGAGTATTGGTGGCCGGGCATGTGGTACGCAGTAGAGGAGTACTGTAATTCGTGTGACGTATGTCAACGATATAAAGTGCCACAGACCGGACCGAAAGGCCTTATGACGAGGAGGGTTGTAGATCGACGCTGGGCAGTCGTGGCGGCGGATATGATGGAGTTCCCTCGGAGTAAGAATCAGAACAAGTACTTGTTGGTGTTTCAAGACTTGTTCATGAGATGGATCGAAGTTATACCGCTGCGTAAAGCCAATGGAGCTAATGTGTTGAGAGCGTTCGAAGAATTAGTATTGTTTCGATGGGAAACACCAGAATTTTTATTAACGGATAACGGCAAAGAGTTCGACAATGCAGTAGTGAATACGGCACTCGAAGAATACGGCGTGAAGCATTTATTTACGCCTCCTTATCACCCTCAGTCAAATGTAGTTGGACGTAGTAACAGGACGATAAAGACGATGATCGCATGTTACGTGGGTGACAAACATGATGAGTGGGACAAGTATTTGCCGCAGTTCCGTTATGCAATTAACACTGCAGTGCAGTCGACACTCAAGGTGTCGCCGGCGTTTTTGAATATGGGCCGACAGCCGAAGCAGGCAAAGAGTTTACGTCGCGAAGTGGAAAAATGGTGCAAGGCAGAGTTAATGCAACCAGGTGCGTGGGCGGAGCGAATGGCGAAGCTCGACGAGTTGCGAGAGGTAGTAATGCAACACATTGATGCCGCGTACGAGAGACAAGCAAAGTATTTTAATAAAGATAGGAAAGAAGTGAAATTTGAGATTGGTGATAGAGTTTTACGACGAACGCATAATTTGTCACGTGCGGGAGATAAATTTAATAGGAAATTAGATGAAAAATTTTGCGGGCCGTATGAGATTATAGGCAAAAAGGGCGAAAACGTCTATATATTAAATGTTAAGAGAAGTAAAAAGAAGCCCGAAGTGCATGTATCTCATCTGCGTAAATGGATCCCACGAAGGTCGCTTCGACAGCGGCCGGCCTGATATCGTACTGTTTTTTTTGTGGAGTCGATACGTGTTCTATGCGTGAGGAATATTTCATTTATTAATTTTTTTTTTGTTTTTGGTGTGGTTTTTTTTCTGTTTTTCTCTCAAGCAGATGGAGCGCAACAGCAGTGAGCAGCAGGGACGTTCCAGGGTTGCATAATTTTTAATTTCGGAATTACAAATTACAAATTAAAAATAATTTGTAATGGAAAAAAATTTCCATTCCGAATTAATTTCAATTCAGAATAGAAAATTGTTTTAATTCCAAATTACTTTAATTCGGAATGGAAAATTCTTTCAATTCTAAATTATTTTTAATTTGTAATGGAAAATTTTTTTAATTCCAAATTACTTTCAATTGGTAATGGAAAATTTTTTCAATTCCAAACTACTTTTAATCGATAATTTGGAAATTCTTGTTTATTTCAGCACCGATGGAGCTGAAAATTTGCATGGGTTCATGGTTTTTGAATGGCTATCGAATGGCACCGGGATTAGCCTCCCATTATTAGTAATACCCTTATTCCAAGTAGTTTTTGATTTGCCTGAAAATTTTTTTGTTGACATTTTTTTTCATGAAAAACATTTAAAATTTTAGTATTTTTTTAGTATACCTATGGGTTTTCGGCACTTTTATTTTGTAGTAAATAAAATAAGTAAATGCAGTTACAGAACAACTAAAAATGTCAGTTATTACATTAAAAATCTCAGCGAATATTTCCACCCAGCCTAAGCAATTTTTTTGAATAATGAAATATAAAAAATCGAATCATCTTATCAATACATTTCGTGCAACGGTTTGGGTTTCGTGGGTGCATATGTATAAGAAGGTTATGAAAAGTAGAATCATTTGTTGCTGAAAGTTCTCAAATTCAGCGAGTTACCTTTCTTTGACGCAGGTTATGAAAAAAAATGCATGTATGTAACAAAATTCTGTTGAGTTCATATGTACATTTCTCATGTATACTATTATTATATTGTACTATCATTATATATCTTACATTTTTATCAAAAAATACTTATATTTTAGTGTCACAGAATAAAATATTCTTAACAATGTAGACAGAGAATGAGAATAAGATTGAAAAGAGCGAAGTTACCTATTGGTATAATTTTTTCAAATTTACTTTGTACAGTACTCGATTCTCGAATTGACTATCTGATAATCGATTGTACTTTGGTAAATTCATCATGGTCGCATAGGAAAATAGACGCTCTACGGGTGCTGACGAAGGTAAAATTGTGTTGAACTTGAGAAAAATCTTTCTTATCTTTGGAAATCTGTTTAGATCTAATAAATTAGTCGTTGGAGGTTCCGCCAAGAATCTCAAAAGCTCAGTACATCCAGTTTTCATTGTAATAATCTTATCTAGATTCGTTGGCTGTCCAGCTTTTCCATAGAAAACAAAAGGATCTGGCAGGGCTCTAGGGGAGGTTGGCTCTTGCGAAAACTGATCTTTGGTCTGGATTAGTCGCTCGACATTGTTCTGAGCTTGCGTCGACAAACATTTCACCCAATCTTTTTTGTAGACTGGGTGAGTCAAAGCGGCAATTGCTGCGAACTCACCAATGTTTTCCACAGCAAATATATTTTCAAATCGTTTTTTCAAACTTCTAATTAAACTGTCAACCAATCCTTTGTACAAAGTTTTTCTTTGAGCGTCGAATGAGTCACGTGTCTCCAACCACCTTTGCTCAATCGTTATGAGCGCAGGAAGAAGCTGACCATAATGACAATTTTTGTCCCCTTGCAATTTGTCAATTGCACCAGCAAGAGGTGCCATTATGGTTAGATAATGCTGAATGTGAGTGAAGTCCGATTTTTCGAAATCAATCGTCGATTCAGTTATTTTGTTAACTTCATCAGACACGAATAAATCTTTACGCTCATAAATTTGTTTAAATGCATCGAAAAAAGAATTCCAACGAGTCGCATTTGGTCTTTTGATGCTCTCGCCGATATGTTTCACTAATGCTTCACGTTTTTTTACCGATTTAAGGCTTTTCCATACCTTTTCGCATTTTTCTACAATATCTGAATGAACAGTTTCAAATTGTTTATTCTTTTTCATGAAGTTGGCAGTATCTGTTGTTGCAATCAAATTTAGCGTGTGACTAGCGCACCGAAAATGACGAGATAACGTTATTACATCATCAGGAAACGTAGACGCCTCGATGTTAAAGTCTTCATCAAGACGATCAGCCGACTCTGCCCTATCATCACTCGAATTATAATCATCTGTCATAACATTTATACCATCTTTCAAAGCGTTTTTGAGATCGATTGTCTCCATTTCATCGTCGTTGTCAACTGAAACATTACAATACATAAAAAATAAACGTTGAACTGATAAGTATATGTATTAAAAATTCATACAAAAAAAAATACCCGAAATGTCGTCACTATTGCCAAATACTCGAAACGCTTTTACAAAATTAGAACAGTTGTCCGTAACTGTTCCGACGACTTTGCTGTTGTTCAGATCATATTCGTTGCTGATATCAAAAAGAATTTCAGAAATTCTATCGTAGGAGTGAGTACCCCGGAAGCGTCTGCAGGCTAATGCTGCCGATCTTCTTTCAAAGGATTGTCGATTAATCTAAGAAAAAAATTAATAATATGTTAGACGAAAGTAGATGCATTTACGTGCTTCTATGGATTAATGATAGAAAGTCAAAGGATATGTAAATGCGTACGAAATAGAGCCAAAAATTGCATTAATTTGTCATAGATATATATACGTAAATATCAGTTTGCGGTAAAGGCATTTGTATACTTGTGAGTGTGTTTATGTGTGTGTATGTGTGTGAACATTGAGATAATTGGGATTACGCACTGCACCTCTTAGCTTTGGAAAGCGTACGCTCAAGGTCGGTAGGATTATTACTGAGAAACTGAGAAACTCACCCAGTGAGCAGTCACTCCCATAAAACTCCTTGTTGGAGAACTCCAAACATCAGCTGTCAAGCACACGTGTTCGACAGTTTTGATTTCGTTCTTTATCTCGTTTTTCTGGGATAAAATTAAGTCATTTGCTACTGTTACCACTTTGGCTCTTGACAAATGCTTAATAGTACCGTCTCCGATCTTGATGTTCAGATCTAAAAAAAATATTTGTTGAATATTGAAAGCAGTCAGTGCATTGCATACGAGAATCGATATAGTTGATTCAACGTACCATCGAAAATAGCTCGGAACGATGGACTTTCTACCACACGAAAAGCTACCATGTTGTCCAAAATGAAACGGACGATATTGTTGTTAAAGGTTCCTGCGTCAAAGGAGCAAGTCACTCTTTTCTTGGTTTTTATGATATCCACACAGGTATCATCGCTGCTTAATTTTTGACGCTTCTTTGCAGATTCTAGGTACTTGTCATACTCATCCAAATCTTCCTTATGCTTCTACATTGCAAAAAAACAGTATAAAAATTAGTTTGCTTGCAAATAAGGTTGTGCGAGTACTCGAGTTTTTTCAAGCTTTGGGCTACTAAAAGATGCAATGACATGTGCATAGTCATAAGTGCATTCGCATCGGCACATAAAGTTTTGCATCGAGCTCATGAATCGTTGTTGTTGTATTTAAAAAATTGAATTTTTCAATATTACTGATTTTCCCTTGAAAATTCGCTGTATAAAAGTATCTGTGTGATCGAACGGGACTATTTATACGACATAAACCACGACATGCGTATATAATAGATACGAATGCATTTATATGACCATACAATTACAAAATACATGATAATGCTCACTGCATAATTCAGTTGACCGAAACTCGAAAAACTCGAAAACTCAAGTTCGAGCCGAGTACTCGAAAAAACAACCCTACTTACAAAATTTATAATTATTTTCTATGAATTTGATTCTATCAATGATAAATAACTTACATTTTTGAGATGTTTTTTAAAATTGGAAGATATATCTGCAGGTCCTTTAACGGTTTCAGCACATTTCATGCACTTAGTAAAAACAGAGTTTAAGGAGGATTTCTGTGGTACAACTTCAAAAAATTTTCCATCTATCCACGGGCGTCGAATCACCGATTGTAGAAGCTCAGAGGAAAGACCAACCATGGGTTTTTCCACTACTTCGTCAGCATCCATAGAATCAATTGCCATTTCTTCATAGATGTCCATTTTTCCTCTATTAAAAAATATTGTTGGTATTATTTATTGGTTCTTTGGTTATATTCATCGAGTTTCGAGACCTATTCTAGTCCAGGTCCCAGCTTCGCAATGCTTAAAAGAAATTAAACCGGCGAGTTTGGCCAGCTATACACATTGCCAGTCGGCGCTCACGCGACTCGCTCTTGTCACGCGCGATGTGCAATTTATACAGCTAATCTTTGAGAACATGGTAAATAATGTAACAATTCTTAGCTAACAATAAACTAATTATTTATTTAAATAATATAAGCTGAAAGTTGTACTCACAATTTTTGGAGTTGGATTTTATAACAGTTTTTTAAAATAAAAACATAGCAGTGACTTGATGATAAAAAATTGTGAATACAACTTTCAGCTTATATTATTTAAATAAATAATTAGTTTATTGTTAGTTAAGAATTGTTAAAATACTTACCATGTTCTCAAAGATTAGCTTCATAAATTGCACATCGCGCGTGACAAGAGCGAGTCGCGTGAGCACCGACTGGCAATACGCATGACTGGCCAACTCGCCATGTCTCTGCAGTTCGTAACGTTATCAAATAACGAAAAAATTAAACGCAGTATATCTTTGGAAATATGTTTGTTTGTCTCCGATCCCACAAAATATGAATATCCACATGTAAATAAATAAGTACACTTAAGATATAGGTATAAAACAAGTAATATCAACAAATTTTGATATCGATTGAGGATCGATTGTGTACAAAATATGGACATCTTTTTCCAACCCAAGTCGTCGAGTAAAATCATGCAACATGAGAGTAAACCAAAATGTTATTGTTTTCTATTGTTTTTTATCTTTTAAACAAATTTCAAAAAAATTATTTATTTATTTATGTATTTATTTATTTATTTATTTATTTATTTGTATGTGTGCACTTATTTATTTTTATTAACTCGACAAAAAAACTGTTTTTGAGCATCGCGAAGCTGGGGACCGGACTATTCGTATGAGACTAAAGAATGTAAACAATCTGTATATCTTAAGCTATGCTTAAGTAAGAACCTGTCTATAAACACTGTAATACATAGCATAACTGTATTACTTATCGTACACTGTACATATACGTAAGTGCGTAAGCTTCAAATACATGTTGCGATAAAAAATGTCCCGTAGTAAATTATAAAACAATTTATTTACACCCAGTAATTAACTCAACAACAATCGAAAATAATAACGATGTGCCAATTTAATACTCATCCGCGTACTGTCACATCTAAAAATCTATTTTATAAATGTGCAATTATTTGCGCAAAAGTACTAAATAAACATTGATCATGTTATTAGCTCGACTTATAAATAATAATTCATTCCATTACTTACGGTTAGCAGTAGTATGTTCAGCTCAATGGATTATTTACGCCTGTCCACTTAAACACTTAGTGCAACTTTCAGAGATCAAATGCGAAATTTGAGCGTCTGTACTCGCGCACATGCAAAACAATAATGAACGACCTCCCGATGTGTTATCTTCACGTAAAATATTTCAGGACTACAAAGCACTTGTTGCTGAAAACCCTAAACTTTTCCGTGTGTATGTCTAGAATTTTTTTCAAGAAATCGCATGTACTAATATAGTGAGTTTTTGAACAATTTTTATTTTGAAATTATTACTAACTTTGAGTAATAATGAAAAATATAAAAAGATATATATATAAAGCGAAGTTGGTGTCTGTTTGTCTTTTATGATCTGAAAAACTACTTTTTTTTCATAATATTAAATTTCTATAATATTAAAACCATTATTTACTATTTAAAATTTAACACATTAATTTATCATTAGTTATAATTTTTTTTATGAAAGAATCTATTAGTTCCATAAATTAGGTTTCTGAAAATGGTTCGACACGTATTATTTGTTTTTCAATTAATCAATTATTAACGGAGGTATGATCAGTTAAAAATGAGCGTAACGTCACAATCGTAGTACTCCTCTCGTTATATCTACTGCACGGAGAAAGTTATGTAGGGAAAATTGTTATGTGTTAAGGAAAAATTACTATATTTTATAGTATAAGTGTGACATCTCTGCATTATGGACAAATGTACTATGTACTATGGTAATTTTTATTATGTTTCTGGTATTATTTACTATAATTCTAAGAAATTTTCATACATTTTATAGTAAATTTTTCCATAATGCAGAGATGTCATTTTTTTACGATACACATAGTATTTTTTCTTATGTGGGTTTCTTCGTGTATGATTGTGACGTCACGCATGTTGTTTCAAATGCTATATCTTCGTTAATCATCAATTTATCGAAAAACAAATCAATTCGTGTCCAATTATTTTCAAAAATCTACATTGCAGACCTAATAGATTTTTCATAAGAAATGCGAATTCATTATTTTAACGCAGTTTATCAATTAAAGTTATGTGAATTCGAAAAAATTGAATTTCCCGACTTCTCGTATTATTTTTCGACTTCTCACGTCATTTCTCGAATTCTGGTATCGTCTCTCGATACATCGAGATTCTCAGCAACCGAGACGAGAATTGAAATTTCTCATCTCGTCTCGTCTCGAATGCATGTTCGCAGACCCTTACTGCGTTTACTGCAAGCCTGTAAAACGATTGTGCGATTTGTAAGAAAAAAAATCTGAAAAATCCCTTTTTTCAATGAGATTAAATTTTTAGGGCTAAACTGACTGTTTCATTGGATTTCAAATTATCTTGCAAAGTGAAATACCAAAATATTCAAAAATGGGCATATAATGATCAAAAAATTGTGTTTTAAAACAATATGATGTAATAGTTCGCTGTAATTATCAATAATTTCCAAATTATCGACGAAAAAAATTTGTAATGGACATTTTCTTCCATTCCGAATTAATTCTAATTTGGAATGGAATAAAATTCCCATTCTAAATTAAAAGTAATTCGGAATGGAAAAGAATTTCCATTCTAAATTAAAAGTAATTTAGAATGGAATAGAATTTCCATTCCAAATTAAAAATAATTTGGAATTTTGTGTAATGAAATTAAATTTTTAATTAATTATATGCAACCCTGCGACGTTCGTTCGCTGCAGTCGTCGGAGGAGCGACCGAGAGGACCACGTCTTCAGTCTCGCCATCGATGGGCGGGCGAGCGGCTACGTCGAGCGTAGAAGGAATCGCCAGCGAGGAGGCAAGAGCCAGCCACCAAGCGGTGGTTGAGCTCGAGGAGTATATACGCCTCATGGAGCTCGGCGTACCCGCTCGCCTCCGCGCAGAGCCGGAGGGAAGGGAGACCGTGGAGGTCTCGGGCAAACTGGTCCCGGTCTATCCGAGTTCGTCGGCAATGACGGCAGAGGACGAGATGGATTGGGAGGAGTCCGCAGTGTTCGAGGGCTACAGCTGGCAACAGCCGGCGTGGCAGCAGCGAGCGGACACCAACAGAAGGAGAGAGGCGCGCCAACGCAGACGTGTCAACGGCGTTGGTACGCGCCAACGCACTGCGTCGCCGGGTGAGGGACGACGTCCGGATGAAGGTGGCGAGCGGCTGCAGGAGGAGGATATGCGGGCGATGCTCCGGCAGCTGGTGGCGGCCCGTCAACCAATGGAGGAGTGGGACGGCGAGGAGGAGAGTTTATTGTTGGAGGAGGGGGAGGCGACGGCTACGCTTCGTCGCTCAGGTGAGCCGATGGAGGAGAGCGCACGGGTGCCGACTCCACCTCTGGCACCCGTACAAGAGCAATTTGCGCTGCCGTTGCCTCCACCAGTACAGCAAGTGAGCTACGTGGCGGGTCCGCATGGCTTGGTTTTCCAGCCGTTCGTCGAGCAACAGCGACGCCTGCCACAGGGGGAGTACGTCCTCGACGGGCAACAACATCGCCAACTTCGTCGTCCGGGCCACTACAAGGAGCAACAACAACATCAGCAGCTACCCCGGCTGCAGCAGCAACAACATCAGCGAGAGGAAGCTCGCGTGGAGGTTCGACCTCTAAGCCCGGTGGCGGGCCCTAGCTCGCTGTCGGGGAGCGCGACCGCACCGGCTCGCATCCGAGGCGAGAATTTTGGAGGCCTGGAGCCGGTGGGGTTCGTGCCGGGGTTGGATCCTCCGCGCGGAGCATGTTTTCAGTGTCACCAGCCGGGACACACTCGTCGCCAATGTAAGAGTCGTTACGACGGCGACATTTCCACGAATTGTGGGCGGCGGGGTGTCAAGGTTCGGCACTGTGCTCGCTGCAGTCGGGCCTGGAAGAAGAGCCAAAGGAACTTCCATTCTAAGAAGGCCGCGCGGAGGAAACAGCTGTGGAAAGCACTAGGAGGAGGAAAGCGCTAGAGTTTGAGAGAGAGAGACCGTAAGATTTTTGGTTTTTTTTTATATTTTATTTTAGTAGTTAGTTGTGTTGTCTGTAGTTATAAGAATCATTTCATTGAATGAGTGAATTTCGAAGTGTGTGAATGTAGTACTAAGCATCGATGGCTTGACGACAAGGATGTGTCGAGCGACAAATTGACAAACTTATTTGTACAGGTACGAATAGTTTGGTGGAGGGCTTTGTAATGCCGAAACGGTATTATCGTAGAGTAAGTCGCCCGACGAATCATTGTCGGTCAAGGCTATAATAATGATGATCGAATATTATGAGATGCTGCGTGATTGTTCCTCTCTCTGTTATATGTAAATACGACGGATGGCTGAGGGAGAACAGAGTTAGTTACCGTTGGACCGGTAAAGCGTACAGGCTCTCAGAGCTACTGTTTTTCTCGCGAGTCGCTCTGTGTGTACACGTGTCTTTATATCGAGTGTGCCAGGGTGAGTGCAAGCACGAGATAGTCCAGGAGACTATCTACGTCGAGCCACAGGTGTGAGAGTGTCCGCGGGAATTAGCCCTAAGTCCTCACATCCGAGGAGAGCGAGTGAGAGTGAGCTCGAGGTCGTGCTTGTGTGTGTGCGTGTGTTGTGTCTGAACGAGTCGACCCGATCACCGCTGCAGAGGTGACCAGCGCCGTACTCAAGGAGCCACCACATCCGT